ACACGTGTGATGTGTTGAGGGGGGACTTCCCACAGCTACACTCCAGAGACAGAAAAGCTTATTTCACACTTGATTTCATTCTAATACCTAGAACAACAGCACAGGAAAGCACACTTACACACACTTGCACACACAAACAAACATTTCCTTAATATATTCCAAATGTGGGCAAATACACACACACACACAAGCACATGAAACTATAAACACCATACTTTTCACGTATGAACATGGATCTATGCAAACATTTGTCTGTCACCCACACACTAAATAATGTCAAGGGATTAGGAAGAATGATAGAACAAAGAAAGCAATAAAACATGGTTAAAAACCAGGAACATGATCCTGTTCTAGCAAGGAGTGTTAAGTTCATCTCTAAAAGTATTTGTTTGGGCAACAAATCAATACAGCACAGTTCATAACCTGTAAATGCATTCTTTTGAAGGGATAGTTATATCCCTTATTATTTTGGTATTTTGAAGTGGGGTTGTATGAGGTAATTATTCATAGTGAACTACAAAAAAACAGTAGATGCCGGTCAGCACATCCCCTATTTGGAGAAGCAGACAAAAGTCCTGGCACAGAAGCAGAGCAATGCACTGCTGTGGACTGGGGCATCAGCAAAACGTATTTTACCCGCACAAAAAAGGCCCACCGACAATCTGTTTAAGCGTATGTTATATTAATAATATTTTCACCGCTTTACCTTGCTGGCAGACAGCCTTTTTCTCTGGCACTAGAAATTCTGTCTTCCTACGCATTAATACCTTTTACAGTTGTACTGTAGGTAATACACTGACTGTAAGGGTGAATCATGCAAAGCTACTCTAGTTGAGTCTCCCACTAAAGGCTAAAACACACCAGTGCCGCAGCACCACAGTGTGTCATATGATGTGCATCAAGCGCCGCCCCTAGCACAGACAGCAAGCACATAGTCATGGGGAGTAAATCTCCCATAGCTGGTCAGCAGGCCTGTGGTAACAGCAGAAAGTAAGTGTGTTATGTTACGCATCTTATCTTATAGGGCACTCAGAATTTAAATACAACATTAACTTTAAGTTTCACTCTGGACATAGACATATGTTTTTCTGACCCATCCATACACCCCTTATGTATATTTTCTTGCTCTTTACACTGCTCCAGACGTCATTATTACCACTAGAGGTCACCACCTAACGGTGTAAGTACAGGTGTAATAAGCTGCTTGCAGAATCGACCTATACAGTACATTTGATTTCCTGCGGGTTTCATGTATAAAAGAACTGAACATTTATACATGTGGAAAAATTGTCCAAATCATAATGGCCAAAGCTTCTGCAAAACAAGCAAAAAAGAAAAACTGCTGACGACTAAGGTGGAGGCCATCGAAAATATAATTTGGTGGTGTATAAAGAGTTGCAGAGAGTAATGAGTGGTCGACGCAGCCAGTTCAGAGAACCGTACAATGGCAGAAAAAAGAAAAAAGTTTGATATCAAGGTGGAAGTCAAAATATGAGTGAGTGCACATCAGCAGAGTGTCGCTGCTACGGGCGTGGGCTCAGGAAAGCTAGAACTGACACCACATGAAGGAAGGGTCGCTGCAATTAGAAGCCCTCATCTTTGACATCCTGCCCACATGTGAGGGCGTCTCAGACATGTATGCTACTCCTAGCTGTATAACTGCTGCACTCAGGTTTATGTATCCACAGCTCCTGTAGCAGAGGCACGTCACATTTGTGAGTGAGTGCATTTGTCCACCTGCCACTGCGTTTTCTACTTGGGGAGATGGATTTGTGCACCTCGCCCTGTAAACAGAGAAAATTGACGTTTTCCCTGACAATCTTGATGTTGTGCAGGGAGTAAGGCATTTCATCTTTGGGAAACAAGCCCAGGGGCACACCATGCCAGGATCCCGTATCTATTTCCTTTGGATTTTTTCATTCATTAGACACCCTCATATTTAAAAGAAATATCCCATAATAGGGGATATTTAAATTGCATTTTCTTACTGTTTGGGTTTCTTTCTGATTAAACATTATCCACAGAAAATGATCAAACTGTCATGATATATTAGTAAGTATAATCATGGTTTTTATAGACACAGTAACTGGAGTGGAAACTTTATTTAGAAACACAGTGTTCGTGAAAAACCAGCACTGTTTATACATAGGGCCCCTGGTGAGGACAGGCTGAATTATGTTTTGGTCTCTTTTGCTAGCTGGAAAAAATGCTAGTTTTAGGCAGCTGGTACAGATGACTGTCACTAATACTTGTAAAGTTTGATATTTCAGACTTGAATCTGGTCGGTATGTGAGTTTGAGCTGGTCAAACATTAACTTTGAATGCTAACTAGCAAAAGGCACCTTGTGTTTGCCACCTACTAATGAAATTCCACAAATTCAGGTGAACATCAAGTGTGTCCATCTTGAGGGGCAACAATAACCTGACTGAGAGGTAGCTCTGAAGGCATTGCCTGCTTTTTAGTAGCCTTGCTAGTTAGCTGCTATGTGTAGTGTGCTTTTGTTGTACAGCAACACATATACGCCCAGGAAATAATTCTGTAGTGTATCTTTTGAATTTGCATTGGGGGGGATGTAAACAGCAGTATGATAGTGATAGTGATTGTCCATCCATTTTGACTGCATTTGAGCACATCGATGTAAGCACTGCCTCCTCTAGTCCTGCGCTCCATCGGCTCATAACATGGTCCACCCCTTAAGGATCCAGGATGTTGATGGAGCAGGTCTCTGGGCAAAACAATGTTTCATTTCCCGTTGCTTGGCCAGCCTGAGTCCCTTTTCTTCCAGACCAGACATTAGCCAGCAGCAGCCTCAAGTCCAAGCTGGGCCAGCATGGCTCCTAATTTAACTAATTTATCCCAGCTCTGTTTCCTCTCCCACTGTGGTGTGCTGGTCCTGCTGATGTGGGTGGATCGTCTCAAAGGGTCCGCTGCTCTTTAATCTGAACCCCACGCTTCCTTTTCCACTAACCACAGGCTATTTCTGCCGTAGGTAATACGTGTTTCAGCAAAGAAGCCGAAAACAGATTAAAACAAAAACAGAAGTTTGGAGGAGAGCCGGCTACAGCATCTGAATGCACAGCGGTTCATCCAGTTGTTTTTGTCTTAGCCCTTTAAAATCCAAACCAATCAGTCATCATTCAATGATGTTTCAGCAATAAAGCAGAAAAAAATACAGATTTAAACAAAAATGTAGCAAGTCTGAAGGAGCTCTCTGCATCTATGTGCAGCCATAATAACCGTATGCTCAATAAAGATTTTGTTTAATTGTTCAGTGTTTGGGGTTTGCAAAGTTGTTCAAGTCCATTCATATGCAATGCAATTTTTAACATCCTTATAAAGTGCTTCAGGGATGTGGAGCTGTCTGGTACGTGTGGGGGTGAGACGGTGGTCATAATAAAGCAGTCACATGAATTCTGGTTATTCAGGTCATGGTTGGAAAGCAGTTTAAGTATTCTCTATGCTAATACTGAGTGTGCGATGAAGATGAAGTTTTCTGTAACTATGCTCTAACTTTGTGACTTACCTTCAAAATGATAATAAAGTCCTGAATATGTCCTGCTGTGTGGTTGATCAGCAGCAGATCAGCAGCAGCACAGAAGAGTCAACAAGGACAGGGGGATATGGGATATTTGCGTTGATATGAACAATTACCAGAGTGTGTTCATATAAACACAGATAACAAATATTTTTTACTGGGTCAGTGGACACTGAAAGGAGGCAAATTAACATCTGGTATGACTCTCCATCTCTAGTCTTTAAAGGTGCAAACCCCCTATTAAAGCTGGGGTTGGTAATCTTGGAAAGCTAGCGAGAGAGCTAGCAAGGTTTGAAAATAGCACCGCCTCCTGCCTCCTCTGGTTGGCTCATGGTTCCACCCCTC